CCCCCGTCCCGCATCCCCGCGGGGGGGGGGGCGGGGCCACGGCGGGGGGCGGGGCCCGGCGGTGCCGGTGCCGGTGCCCGGTGCCCGCGGTGCCGCCCGCGCCCGGGATGGAGCCCCCGACCGGCACCGAGAGCGCCCGCCTGGTCAGCCCCCGGGGCGGCCGCGCCGACGGCAGCCTGCGTCTCAAGAGGTACCGCCGGCACCGGCACCCATCGCCCCGGCATCCCATCATCCGCACCACCGTCATTCCATCACCGCTGCCTCTGGCACCGCCGGCATCGGCACCTGCATCACCGGCATCCCCATCATTGGCACCCTCATTGCTCCGGCACGTCCAGCACCGCAGTCACCTCTGGCACTTCCATCACCACTGGCACTTCCATCACCACCGGCACCTCAGCGCCCCGACATCCTCATGATCGGCACCAGCATCTTCATCACCGGCATCCCCATCACCCCGGCACTGCCACCCCTGGCACCCCATCAGCTCCCAGGGCCCCCGGCAATTCCTCGCACCGCCACCTCCATCATCCCCCCCCATTTGCAACCCTGGGTCCCCCCGCACCCGCACTGCCGGCACCGGCTCCCCCATTATCCCCGGCATCTCCATCGCCCCCAGCTCCCTTGGCACTCGCAAGCCCACGGCTCCCCCCCTCCCGGCACCGGCACCCCCGGCACGTCCCTCCCCGCCCGCCCCCGCGTCTTCATCCATCCGAAACGGACATCGGCACCTCCGCAGCCCCCGCGCCAGCTCTGACTGTCCGCCACCGGCACCCTCACCCCGCCACCGCCACCCGCGCCCTCCCTGCTACCGGTGCCTCCGCTCAAGCGGAGCCATTCCCTCCCGTGCACCAGCCCCGCTCCCCCCTCGGATGTCCGTCCGGCAGCTACCGGCGCCCAAACGTCACCCACGCACACCGGTACCGTCCATTCATCACCCGCCCACATCGGTACCGTCCATCCGTCACCCACTCACACCGGTACCGTCCATCCATCACACCTCCCCCTCCCCGGCTCGCTGTCCGTCCCCGCTCCCGCACTGCTGCCCCACGCACCAGCGCCCCGGCTCCCGCCTCCCTTCCCACGCCTCACGTCTCCACACCGGTGCCCCGTCCCACAGCTCGGCCCCAGGCGCAACAACTCGGTCCCACCGGCACCTCCCCGCGGGTACCCGCACCGCCCCCGGCTCCGGTCCCGGCGGGAGCCCCGTGCCGCCGCCTCCTGCTGCCGCCGCCGGTCCCTTTGCTGCCCGTCCCGCCGGGGGGGCTCAGCCAGTGCCCCATCGGTTGCCTGGGTGCGGCCCCCAGGGTGGTAGTGGGACCCCCAGGGTTGCCAGGCAGGGGCACGGGAGACGGTGTGGTCAGCAGCGACCCCCGCCCCCAGTCTGTTCACAGGCTCCCAGGACCACCCGGCACTGCCGCCTCCCCCGGCTTCGGCTCTCCATTGCCGCTGCAGCCCCCCGGCCCCCAGCCCCGGGCGGGGCAGGCTCCCCAGCCGGCAGCTGAGAGTCGCCTGCGCCGTCTGCTGCCTCTTCATGGTCGGGGAGGTGATAGGTAAGGGGGGCCGGGGCGGGGCGGGTGGCTGCCGGCAGAGCGCGGGGTGCCAGCTGCTCTGTGCCCGCAGGCGGGTACCTGGCACACAGCCTGGCCATCATGACGGACGCGGCACACCTGCTGACGGACGTGGGCAGCATGTCCGTCAGCCTCTTCTCCCTCTGGGTCTCCACCCGCCCACCCACCAAGACCATGACCTTCGGCTGGCACCGCTCAGGTGAGCCGAGAGGCACAGCCCCGCGGGGCTCCACAGGGGGCACGGCTCCATGGCACCCCCATGACCGGGTGGTGGGCACTTAGGGCTCCTGTCCTACAGAGACGCTGGGTGCTCTGGCCTCTGTCCTCTCCATCTGGGTTGTGACTGCAGCCCTCGTCTACCTGGCGGCCGCCCGCATCATCAGCAATGACTACGAGATCGAGGCGCGAGCCATGCTGGCCACATCTGCCTGCGCTGTCGGCGTCAACCTGGTGTATGTCCCACATGGCCCCTGTGCACCTTCAGCCTGAGCCCTGCCCCAGATGTGATCCCGGTACCCCAAGATCCCCAGCCATGCCCTCTGGTCCCCTTCTGTCCCTGTGCACCAGCCTTACATCCTCAAGCACTGCCTCCTCCTCTTCCCTGTCACCCCCCTATGCTTGCAGCTTCCAGTCCACGTGCTTACATCCCCATGCCCCACATCCCCTGGCCCCCCAAGCAGCACCTTCTGAGCCCTGGCACAAGCCCCAGGCCTAAATCCCTGCCCAGTTGCATGCACCTCCCAGCAGTGGAGCTTCCCTGTCATCGTGCTGCACCTCCAGCCCCACTCCCCTCCACCGTCCTGGAGGACGGTGCCTGCCTGTGCCCCCTTTGCACGTGCAGGGCAAGGCAGGGCCAGTGGGGCCTCCATGCCCTGCCAGTGCGGCACTAAGCCAGCCCTGCTCTCCCCAGCATGGCCTACATCCTGCACCAGTCCCCCTCCGGCCATGGCCACGGCGCAGTGGGCTATGAGCAGCTGGAGAGCTCTGGGGTGTGCCAGCCTGGCCATGCCCCCCTGCCTGGCAGCACCAGCGTGCGGGCAGCCTTCGTCCATGTGGTGGGTGACCTGCTGCAGAGCGTCGGTGTCCTCGTGGCTGCCACCATCATCTACTTCAAGGTGCCCGGGCTGGACTCCACCTGCACTGCCTGCAGGAGCAACTCCCCCAGTCCTATGCAGGGTGCCCCACTCCCAGGGGCCCAGCTCAGCTCTGCCCCCCAGCCTCACACAGACCCTGCTCTCTGCAGCCCCAGTGCAAGATCGCAGACCCCATCAGCACTCTCTTCTTCTCGGTCTTTGTCCTTGGTTCCACCTTCACCATCCTCAGGGATGTCTTCAGGGTCCTCATGGAAGGTGAGTGGTGAGTGAGGGGAGTGCAAGACCACGGATGCAGGGGGGCACAGAGGCTCCTGGGGCTGCAGCTGCTGCAATACTTTGCCCATGAGGCACCTCACCTCCTCTGCTCGCCCCGGTCCACCCCTCTGTCCTTCCCTTGCCCCCCAAATATCCCCAGCCCCTCCTCCCCACCCCAGGTACGTTTGCCCCATGGTGAGGCTGTCTCAGCCCGGAGCCACTGTGCCCAGCCTAGTCCCCCTGGGGAAGCCCCCAGCCCTGGCAGATCCCACCAGGAGCCCTGGTCCAGGTGGGGGCTGTGGCTGGGGGCCAAGGGTGGCCCCCCATGACCAGGTGGTGCTGGCAGGGACACCACGGGGCGCCGAGTTTGATGCGGTGAAGGAGGTGCTGCTGGGGGCCAGCGGGGTGCGGGGTGCCCACGACCTGCGCCTGTGGGCGCTGACGCCGAGCCACCCTGCTGTGTCAGTGCACGTGGCTGTGGGTGAGTGACCTGCGCAGGGCACGGCCGGGGGGTCCCCCTGGCCATGCCTGGGCTGAGCCCCTGCCCTGCTGCCCCCAGAGGCCGGCGCCGACCCTGAGATGGTCCTCTGGGATGTCACTGCCCGGCTCCAGAGCAGGTTTGGCTTCGCATCGTGCACGGTGCAAGTGGAGCGGCACCGGGAGGAGACAGCAGCCTGTCCCCACTGCCAGGACCCCCATGCCTGAGACCCCTGTCTGCTGCTGCACTGGGCCTGGCCCTGGCCCCCCCTGTCCTGGAGCAGCTCGGGGTGCTGTCCTCCCTGTACCCACCCCACTGCTGTATAGCCCCGGGGTGGGACAGTGCCCCTGGTGCACGATCCTGGGTGGGACGTGGCCTGGCCGCAGCAGCACAGGGGCTCCCTGGGATCCTCCACTCCCCACTGTGTCACAGCCTCTGAGGAAGGGGGATCCTGCCCCACCACCCGCCCCCACAGAGCCCTGCCGTCCCAGCAGGAAGGGATGTCCCCTGTGGGGGACCCTAGATGCAGCCTTGGCCCCAGATGCTTGTGTTCCCACCACCTCCTTTGCTGCTGCCCAGGCTCGGGGAGGGCGGGCCAGAGGAGCTGCTGCAACCCCCAAGTGCAGGGGGCTGGGGCAGCCAGAGCCCAGAGCTCAGCCCCCCACTGGCTGCTGTGCCGGGGCCTGATCTGTCCCCCTCGCTGAGTTGTGTCTGTGCCGCCGGTGTCCATCTGTCTGTCTGTGCCAGCAGCAGTGTCAGCACTGCCAATAAATGTGTTGGAGAAGCAGCAGTGGTGCAGGAGCCAGAGTGGCACAGGGAAGGGGACAGTGGGGTCAGGGCTGGACCCCCACAGTCACGGCCACAGCCACGGCCACAGCCACAGCTGCCCTGGTGCAGGCACCTCCACAGTCGTACAAAATCAACCACGTTTACTGCACAGTTGAACAAAGGCTCAATGTGAGCAATTCCAAAGCTCCCAGCCCCCTCCCTGCCCCTTGGAGCGCAGCGGGGCCGGAGGCAAGTGCAAGCACAGCCCCACACCACTGGGGCCCATGGGCACTTCTGTGGGGTCAGACCCACAGCATGTACCCCAGTACATGCACTAGTCCCGCCACCCTCACTCAGCTCAGGCCAAACAGCGCAGACAGATCCTTCCGGGTTCGGAAGACGTGTCTGGAGGATCCCAGGAGCAGCTGGGAGCAGCTGCACCTCCCATAGCAGGGGCCCAGCGGGAAGGCAGCACCGAGAGGGGCCACAGTCCCTGGCCAGCACAGGCGGCCCCAGGCCCTGCCTGGGGTGAGCAGCACGAGGGACCAACCCCCCTACTCTGCCGGCACTGGGGAGCACTTGGGGGGGCCAGGGCTCCCGGACACATTCCTGTAGAGGGAAGCGAAGCGGGCCTGGCACTCCGGGAGCAGCCGGCGGCCCACACCGGAGGCCAGTCCTGCCAGGCAGTGCGCCCGCACGATGCCCGCCTGCCCACCCGACACCAGCCAGCCCTGCGAGTCCAGGTTGGGGCTGAAGCGCACCTGGGGGAAGAGAGGGGTTCGGGAAGCGTGGGGCTGAGGCACCGGGACCTGGGCCCCCACAGCAGCGCTGCTGCTGCAGGGCTGGGGCTGGGCCTAGCCCCCTCACCTTGTGCAGGGCCTCCAGCTGCAGGCGGTCGAGGCTCAGCTCTGCCTTCACCTCCTGCGTGTGCATCCTGCGCATGGGCTCCCGGCTCGCCAAGTTCTGGAAGCTGCGCTGGAAAGTGGCAGCACCACCTTGGGTTGTGGGCCCAGGGCAGGAGCACTGCAGGGACCATGGTCCCAGCTCTGCTAGATGTGAGGGGCTGCCCCAATGCCCCAGCAGCGTCTCCTGGCCCTGCCACCCCCACAGCACAGCCACAGCCCCACAGGCCCCACTCATGCGGCTGGACCACCAGCTGCATCCTGCCCTCTCCTACCAGGTCCGTGTCCTGGAATTGGATGTAGCTCCTGGCCACCATCTCACTGTAGCACCGGGTCCTGGGCAGTGCCTGCTCAGTGCTCTTGGGCCCAGCAGGGCTGCAGGGCAGCAGGTCGGCTTTGTACACTGGCTGTGGGTGAGAGGGGGCTCAGGGCAGGGCAGAGGTCCTGCTGCTCCTCTGCAGCCAGGGGCCACCAGGGATCACCAGTGTGGGGGGGCCCAGGACGCTCTTCCCATGCCCCCTCCCTGCCTGGCTCCCTGTGTGCTGGGCCAGGCTCCCCCCTGACCCTGAAACACAACAGCCTCTTACAAATCTGCGGTCCGAGGAGCGCTTGACGTTTAGGGGGTTGCTGGCCAGGTCAGGCAGCACTGCAGCCACCAGCTCGCCGGTGATGTCACCCGCAGCCACCGTGTTCAGCCAGTCTGAGCCAGAGATGCTCTGCAGGGACAGAGGGCTGGAGGGTGCGGGGTCCCCACCACCCCCAGCCAGGCAGCGTCACCCACCCCTACCCGCAAGCCCCGGGCCCCAGCTGGCGCTGACCCGGCCCCCGGGACATAACGGCCCCACACCAGCCCTTACCCACACAGTGCCCTTGCGAGGGGCCACGAAATAGGCCTTGAAACCCAGGTACCCGGCGTCAATGTAGTGGATCCCGCAGAGCCCATACCTGCGGTGGAAGGGACAGGTTAAGGACAGAGCTCTGTGCTGCCACTGGGACTGCACGAGCCAGGCACAGCCCACCTTCCCCCAGACCCGGGTGGCAGGGGAGCCACCCTTGCTCTAGCAGCATGTCACAGGGTAACGAGGCAGCTCAGGGCAGATCCTGGAGACTGAGAACTCACCAGGAACACAGACCCCCTCAGCTACCCTGCCCAGGGGCTGGCTGTCCCCTGGCCCACCCTTCCTGTGTCCCAGGATGGCACGGGAGAGGGGATGTCACGCTGTGCCGCTGCGGTGTGACCCAGCACAAGCAGAGCCTGCCTTTGCCACAGCATAGCTGTACAGTCCCAGGAAGGGGGAGGCCAGAGGGGCCCCTTGGGGGGTTGAACTAGGCCCCGGCAGTGGGGCTGGACCCTGGCACTCACGAGGCATAGCAGTTGTCCTGGGCCACAGTGATGCCATTGTAGGGCAGCAGCCAGGCCACCTCAGTGCTCAGGAACCGCTTGATGCTGTTGATGGGCTCGTAGAGTCGCCGCAGGTCCCAGAACTTGATCTTGCGGTCACTGCCTGCCGTGACCAGGAAGTTGCTGAGAACCAGGAGAAAGGTAGCACTGAGAGCCCAGCGCAGAGCCGGGGCCTGTCCTGGTGCAGGGTCCAGGTGGCCCCAGTCCCCCAGTGGCTCTACTGCCCTCACCACGGAAAGCCCAACTCTATCCCTCCAGTGTTGCAGAAGGCCAAGTGCCATTGGCACCATGGCCTCCCAAGCCCCTCTTGGCAAAGGAACCCCTCCTGAAGGAGGGAGCCCCTCTCCCGGCAGCACCTGTGCCCGCTCCTGCCCTCACTTGTCGGCCTTGCACCACTCGATGCTCCGGACCGCGTGGTCGTGGGCCAGGAAGCACTGGAAAGGGTAGAGCTTGAGGGAGGCATCGGGCTGGTGCACACATTGCAGCAGGGACTTGGTGAGCAGGTTCCAGATGGCCACGGTGCCTGTGGAGAAACCCATTTCCCTGAGGTGCTGCTGATGGCACAGGTGCTGCAGTGTGGGACGGGCAGCGGCACAGGCAGGACTGTGGAATATGGCAGCCAGGCTGGAGCTAGGGCTCCAAGCAGGACAGGATGGCAGCAGGACCTGGCAGCGGCATGGGCAGGGCTGTGGGAGCTGTGGAACACAGCAGCCAGGTGAGAGCTGGGGACAGGGCTCAGAGCAGGACAGGATGGCAGCAAGACCTGGCAGGACAGCATAGAGCTGCAGATCACTGGAAGGCTGGCAGAAAATTCCATCCAGGCAAGTTGAACAGATGTGGATTAGGCCAGAGCCACATCCTGGAGCCAACAGGTATGTGAGGGTGCCGATGGCCAGCCCAGAGAAGCCTTCCCCCACCCCAGGGATAGGCAGAGGTTCCAGCACAGCACCCACTGCTGGCTGCTGCTCCCCCCATCCCTCACCCCTGGGCTCCCCCGTTCCCTGCCCCAGCCAAGGATGAGGGAGCTCCAGGGTCTCTGCCAGGGCAAGGGCTGCTCTCCGAGTGCTGCTGTAGGGTGCAGGAGAGACTCACCATCATAAAACCCCGCTGCCAAATGATGGTGGGGCTTGGAGGGCATCCAGGAGAGGCTGAAGCACTGCCCGCACTCGGATGTGTTCCCTGCCTGGATGGAGCCCACCTGGAGCGTGGCAATGCATTGCACCTGGGAGCCAAGGGACAGACCTGGGTCACACCCTGGTGCTGGTGCCATCCGTGCCCTGAGAGCCGGGATGTGCAGGGTGGGAGCACAGCTCTGCTCTGCCCCTCCAACGCTCCGCAGGTGCCCCGGCTCCTCCCCGCTCTCCCACCTGCACCGGCCAGGGGGCTTGCTGGGTGCTGGCCCCGACAGGGACCACTGTGGTGGGGGACACTGACCTTGCAGATAAGGTGCTTGTGGAGGGGCCCATCTAGAAGAGAGTAGAGTAGGGTCAGGGCAGGTACCAGCTTTCTGGGAGCTCCCTGCCTGGAGCCTGGATCGCAGCTCCCCACGGCCTTGGCCAGGGCTCCTGGTTCCTGTCCTGCCACCCCCCAGAGCAGTGTCCCCAGCACAGCAGGAATCAGAGCACATGGAGCACCAAACCCAAGAGCCAGTAGGGGCAGGACCCCAACCAGGCCTGCCAACGCGGGAGGAAGCAGCCCACTGAAACGCACTGCAGACAAAGGTGAGGCAGGGCTGACATGCCCCCACCCCACCATGACTGGCACCAAAGTCAAGGGCACGTGGTGATATGTAAGGGCCAGACGTGACTGTGATCACCCTGGGGAGGGAAGGAGTGGCTATGCAGGACATCTGCTCCATGGGGTGATGGGGCTGAAGGAGGTAGCACTCCTGGGGAAGGAAGGCTGCAGAGACCCCGTGGCCAACGGCTTAGAGTGAGGTGCCCATGGGACCCCCCCCCACCAGCTCCATCTGCCAGAAAATCCCCCCCACCAGCAACACCCGACACGCATGCTGTGGGGACCCTGTCCCACACCCCTCAGGCCTGTGGTCCCCCTGTGCCCAGCGCAGGGCTGTCCTCTGGCACAGCAGGCAGCAGACAGGCACGTCCCAGCCCGGAGCATGGCAGCTGTGGGTGGAGGCATGGAGGAGCCATGCATCTTCCCCGGCACGGCTGTGACAGCCGGGACATGGTGTGGAGACCAGCCCCGGCTCTGCCAGGCAGGAACACCGGG